CCAATGTGTCTACATCGCTAAATTAAAAGGCGGTTGCAAGATTAAACGATGGCAGTTGCACAGAGAAGAGTGGTGGGAGGCACAATTGCAGCACCGGGTCCAGGAAGGTCCAGGGGACACAGTGAAGCTGAGAGCCACCACCTGAAAAACGGAATTTGCTGCTAATTGAAGATCTAACCTTTTTAAAATTGCTGCTTGGGAAGGTGAGTAACTGCAGAGGCAGATCTGCTTTACCGAGTCAGACCAATCTCTGTTATAAACCCCAGCGTACGTCCTGCGCTTCAGCAACGCCGATGAACGCTGGGCGATCGCAGGACAACCCCCTCCTCGGCACAGCTCCCCTCCAAGCAGCTTTCAACAAAAACCACGCCTGGAAGATTTTCAAGTTTGAGTTTTGCCAACCTGTCTAAACCAATACGTTACTCCGAGATCATTTATTTTCCAGCAGAACTACCAGAGGAGCCCAGGAGAACTTTGCCTGGTCTCCTGCTGGGTTGGTAGGAAGCCTGGATGGTGAAGGTGGCTTCCCAGGACGAATGCTGGAAACTGGAGGAGCTGCAGCCTACCTGGAAAGCGCCCTACCCCATCTTGCAGGGGATTTCAGAGTGCTGGCTTTCCTTCTGAGTCAGCATGCAGCAAAAATGGAAAACAAAAATACATTGGAAGGCATAGAATAGGTCTGTAGACTGTCGTCTATCCAGTGCTGCAGACGCGTAGTTTTCAATCAGTCAGAACAACAGTATCATTCTCACCCCTGTAAATGAGCTGTTTGATGAATTTTGAAATACTTACTGTGAGAAAGGCATCTTTATCCTAAGTAGCAGCTAAGGAAATTGGTAAAACTAAAAAATAAAAAAAAAGAACCAAACACACCAAAACCACTAAAAAAAACCCCAGAAAAACCCAACCCACCAGTACAAAGTAAAGGCAGTCTAGGTCATTCCAACCCATCACAGGAGTAACTAAAAAATATTTTAAATTGCAACTGATGTGCCATCTTGAGCCAGCTGCTTATTCTAACAGGCCTGAGGTTTTCTGCTCATAAAGCACTAATAGTACGTGCCTTTTCCTAGAAAGGAAGGATCTGCCTAAGTGTTACTGTGTCAAATAAAAAAGCCCCCAAAATAGACTTTCCAATGAAATAAAGTGTTTTATTCAGATACATTCTTTTGGATATGGCAGTGATGTTAAGAACAGCTATTCAAGTAGCTGAAGTAGGCCCTTCAAAAGAAGTCACACAGCTTTGAGACTCGAACAAATCATTGTATGATCTCATCCAAGAGATCGAAATAGCTGGAACATCTGCCAGAGCCACCACCAATTTATTTAGCAGAGTTCACCAGTAGTTCATCAGCTCTGTTTGCACAAGCAGGTGCCAGGGCAGGCACTAAGGAGTCCTACACGTGTCTTAAAAAGAGGAGAGGGGGAGGAGAGAAGGACAGAGATGAGGGATTTTACTGTCTAACACGGATGTGCATTAGCAGGAATAAGGTTCCTGTTGAATTAGGGCAGTGACTATTACTGAAGGAGAAGTGCAGAAATTTTCCCAGAGAAGTATTACATGCACAAGTAACTATATTGTGAAAATTTTTTATTTGTGACAGTAAAGAAACCATTCAATACCTGATTGACAACACTTCTCTCTCCTGAAAACACTCATATGGTATCTGTAGTGTTTCTCAAGTATCGCTGGATTGTTCATTGCATTAAAGTGTAAACAGCTCCGTTATTAGAGGAAAAAAAGAAAAAGAAAAAAGAAAGAAACATCGCCATTCGCTTACTCCTCTCAATAGATTTTTAACAAGAAAGAAAAAGAAGTCAGCTGGATTTTTACAATATAATGTGAAACAGACAACTGACAGCTGATTTTGCATAGTTAGCCCAGAGATTTTTAAGCAATTGCCCCACGCAAGTCTCACCTGCCCTCCTTGCCCCACAAAGGCATAAACATCACAGCACCTTGGAAATCAGAGGCACAAACTTGTTTCTGTTTTACAAATAGGGCTGTGCGGTACTGTGTTTTATTAGTTTAAAAAGAACCTGTAAAACATAGGATTATGCATTTGTAAATTATATAGCTACAGATCTGTTGTGTTGGTTTTTTTGTTTTTCTTTTTTTTACACTGAAATTTCAAAAGCTGCAACATCAGCACACACCAGTGTCATTTAGATACTTTATTGTCCCCAACCAGTCTAATCAAAACCATGCTGTGATAAAGTGACTGCGTACACTGATAACCGAATCTCTTCAGGTGCCGAGTTTTTTTCCATGTATAACTTTGCTGTTTAAAAAAAAGATTCAAAGGGCGAAAAACAAATAGACAAATTGTTCTTCCGAAGCTCCCCGAATGAACACAGCAATATTGTACATTCGCTACGATCTGCTCCCATTCACAACCTGCCACGCTTCCTGGTGGTTTACGAGGATTCTGCGCACAGCCCTAGTTTACAAGTGGCAATTTTATCGTAACACTTGGATTTCAAGAATCTAAGGCATTCTGCCTTACAGCTTAATTTAAAAATACCTATACAGGCAAAAAACCTTTTTTAACCCGACATAAAAAGGACAACGGAACTTCAGGCCAGGCAGCGTTTCTTCAGCTGAACTGAATGACCAACTGGAAAAAGACTTTTTAATACTTCTATAATATCTAGAAATAGAATTGAAAACCAGAGTTTATAACAGCCCTGGTGACCTGCATGCATTAACTGCATTTCAAAATATGCAAGAGATTTAGGAAACAAGTACTTTTTCCTATTTTAATTTTTAAAATCTTGTATTTAAAATACAATCAAATACCCGTATTGCAAATTCTACACACATTCCACTCGCTATCTGACTTAATGGACACAACTATATTGCTTTGTTAAAATATAGAAACTCTAAATATATAGCGTATATATATTCACGCAAACCGAACACTTGAAATTTCAAGTACGATGACAGTGTCAAAATAAACAACTACGCCTGTTTGATCCCTTTGGCCAAATCTGAATACCCAGGGAAGTCCAAACCTGACTGCAGAACACTCCAAGTTTTACTTCAATGCGAATGAGTAAAAACCAAAAAATAAAAAGAAACTCTCAGAAGTTAATATACTAGTAAAGAGAAAAGCCGTTGCAAAGTTTTTTGCCTTTGCATTATCACCAACTCTCACTTTAATGCTGTATTAAGGTAAAAGAAGTTGAGTTTCTTGAAATTTGTGGCTTTCAAGAGCCAAAATAACCAATACAGAACAAGTATGGTTGTAGAGAACATCCTCAGAACCGAAAGCCCGAGACCCGCTCTCCCCGACGCTGGGGCAGAAGTTCCGTTGTCCATTATACGCGGATTTGAAAACAATACAAGACACTTGAATAATCAACATTCATTCACAGACTTAAGGCAACTGGTTCATGAAATCGCTGCTTTCGTAAATGCGAACTTAGGACACGGTTCATCTCGCGTACAACAGGTCACAACCGCCAAATGGCAACGTCAAAGTGGGGTCATTTATTGACTGATCAAAAATTGTTTGGTCTAATGCTAGCAAGAAAAAGTCATTTGACTTTTTTTTTTTCCAGCCATTCCTATCATACCTGCACGACTAACTACAACCTGAATTCTTCCCTGCAAACTGCATTTGACGCAGCAAACACAGTCGAAAATACTGCTCAGAGAACAACTTTTTGGCAGCTTACGGTTTCATTACCCCGTAGTCCAACACAAGATTAAACAATCTTAAACTGAAAGTAACCGTCAGTGGAGTAACCAGAATCCTCACATCCTTTTTCCCTCCCCACTTTTTAAAACATCGGTTGTGGGTCAGGTGGGTTCTTTTTTTTTAAAGACAGTTCTGTCTTTAGTTGTGGCACAGAGTTATACAGTACTAAGGTAATGGTGAGAGAAAACAAAACGGTGACGCCGTTACGGACACAACGAGTGTCACGGGACTGCCTCGGACATCCCTCCCTCGGCCTGAGCCGCGGCGAGCAGCTGGAGCACATCTGCACTGCGAGGGGGCGAGTCCCCTCCCCGTTTTATACTGCACCTCTGACAACCTACTTGCTGCCTGTGTAGGCTTAGCCTGCCCTCCTATGAATGACTTTGTTAAGCTGCTTCGCCAATCGTTTTAGACAAGGATGACAATCCAAGTCACGCTGCAAAAAAATTAAGAATTTTCCCCAAGTCGTTCAAGACTGAGAAAAATAGAATAGAAAAGGCAAAAAGGGAGATCTACGATTCAGAATTTAGCACTAGGCTAATTAGAAGCACCAACTATTCCATTTAGGCTTCTCTGACAGCCAAACGTAGCTGCTGGTTTTGCATTTGTAGATTTCTGGGGTGGATAGTAATTAAAAGGTGACGCTGGAAAGGGGAAAAAAAAACAAAAAAAAAAAGAAGTGAAATAAAGCATGCCTTGTTCTTCAAAGGCTTAAAATAGTTAAGAGTTGTTCTTCTGAAAGGGTACCTGTGGTACTACAGAAGATGGTAAGCAGGTCCTCAGATTCAGAGATGAGCTTTAGTCAACTCCAAAGCCAAAGCACCAATTTTAGTCAAGGCCAGTAACTCCCGTCCTTCTAGAAAAATTCAACAGAGCTCCCAATCTGCACCTCACAGCTTGGGAAGAAGAAAGACAAATTAGAGATGTGGGAAAAACACTTGTTGCATTTTTCTATACCAAAACCCAAAGAGGGCTTCATTTCAACTTAAAATTAATAAAAAAACCCCCTTTACAGGTCACCTTTCACTGAGTTCTCTGGTATATCGATACCGTAGGATTAATACATAGGGGTGGGTAACGAAGCCTGCATTTTATTGCCCAAGTTTGCAGCTTACAGAAAATGTTTCATAGCACAGGCACAGTGGCAAAAACAGTATAACAGCCGATGGTCAACTCCATTTGGTGAGTATACAGTAGCAGCAATTAAAAGAAAAAAGTACTCCAAACAGCTCAATACAGATCCAGCTTACCCAGATGGGTTGGTTTGTTGTTGTTGTTTTTTTTTTTTTTTTTTTAAGGAAAGAATCCTAAACTAATAAATAGATCTCCTCCCCATCTCCCAAGGTAATGGTTTTCCAAAAAACGAGAGGCATGGCAGTTGTGCGTAAGCAGAGACAACAGAACTTCATTTGTCTAGAATAAAAGGTGCTTTAGGTCTAGTAGCCACCTTAATTTCTCAATTCCATCATTCCCTAATACTCAAACAACTGCAGATATGTTCAAAACTGTGCCCGAAATCTTAGCAGTGAAACCACCACGTAATCAACCCAAATCACCCCTCCCACAAACGCTTAAACCTTCTGAGCGTGACACAACGTAATACAACTTAATGTCATTGTGGAGACAGGAACCCAGCATCTTTGTTTCAACTTTTTCCTTTGTTATATATTACAGTGCTCTATAAAATTTTTTCCTTTTTCCTTTTAAAGCATTTAGACAATACAAGACTAAAAGATGTCTGGAAATACGTCTTATACAAAAATGAATTTTTATCTTAAAATAACATTCAAAAAGGCACTTCATTCTGTAAGAAAAAATTCAGAGTCAGGTCAACTGCTCTAAGCAGGGGGGTAAAATTGTCTGCATAGTGGGAGGGGAAGAAAGGGAGAGAAACTTAACTGCTGAAATACAAGCTTCTTTTTTGGCATGTTTTAAGAAAAGCTGATCCAGTAAAAGATGTCCATTTATGAAATTCATTAAAAGAGTCCCATTTAAAATAGCTTCTTTTTTTTTTTTTTTCCTTTAAAAAAGTAGTCTGAACACATGACCTTAGGAGTCAGGCTTCTGAAGGCTTAATAGCATCACTCATGATTGTCCTTGGTGTCCAATGTAACAGGAAGATCAAGAGTAGCACTTCTGACAGGGGTGACCTCCCCAAAGCTTACATTTGAAAGAGCTGAAAAAGATGGAGACGGCCTCTGGTGACTGCACTCGAGGAGCAGAAGTCAGTCAAAGTTGAGGGCTACCTGTTGCAGAGTTTATGAAGCATACTGTAAACTTCTTCCTCTTTGCTTAGTCCTTCAAAGAAAGGAATAAGGTCTAGCAGCTCTGTGTCTGTCATGTCATCAAACCAGGACTGCACAGGCACCTGAAACAAAGCAACCAACAGACGCTAAGACGACTCGATGACGCGAAGAACGTGGGAGTTCTGCCTGTGCGGAAGCCCGTTGCCATCACAGCAAGGCAACCTGCTCGCCAGCAGCAGGCAGCCAGGTTCGCGTCCACATTTTCTAGCGGGCAACACCAACCCCAAATCCAGCTGGAGACCAGCTGACGTGCCGCTGACCTTCTCCTACGTGTCCCGGCAACCGACACGACCCAACAGCGGAGGGTCCTTCCTCTGCCTCCTTGATCTTTAGAAGAGACTGGAAGATGCAGGTTCTGAAGCTGCACTGACACTTTATGTACGGGCAAAAGTCTTTTCCAACCCCCCCCAAGTGTTATCAGGGTGAGTCACTAGACACAGGCACGCAGCAACAACCCCCCCTGGCATGAGGCTGGGGAGGAAATATTTAAACAGCGAGCACACAACAGTTCTCTGATTAAAACGGTAAGACCTTGAGATCGGGTTCAGAAAACAGCGCAGATAACAACACTTCTTAAATATGTGGGCTGGATTTGGGGAAGGAGTTCTGTGTATCTTGTAAGGTCTCTTTAAAGAGGTCTTTTAAAGACTATCACGGATCTTGTTACAAGCTCTGGTTTCTGCAGAGACTCGAGTATCAGTTTGCTAGCAGCGCTCTTCTATACATGATTAAACCATTCTGACAAGGCCCTTAATTTCTTCTCCCAAATTTCTACAGCTCATTATTTTCTTGGCACTGAATTCCAAAATACCAAATGACGATCTGGACCAGGTTTTTAATTTTAACCATGAACATGAATTAGAGCTACAGCTCCTGGTTATTATAAATAGCAACTTTAAACCATGTGTGGCACCAACCAGAAAAACATTTTCATTCAATCACTTTGGGCATCACAGTATTGAAATCTGAATTTAAAACCTGAATGCTGCCAGATAAATAGCCCACAATAAAAAAAACCAACCAAACAAAAAAATGCTATTGCAGAGAGGCAGGACCATGCAAAACAGTGTCCCTAATAAAAATTTCCTACGTTAATTGTGGCAGTTCACAAAAAAGGCTGCCTAAACACATCAAAGAAAACATCGCACAGCCTGGTTGTTTAAAAGTCAGTAGATCTGAGGGGAATTCCAGCTCGCTAACCTGGCAGCTACAAAACAGATGTGAACATCTGTACTGGTAGCAGCAATGGATAGAACAAGTGCCAGACCATTCCATCAGAGCTGCTGGAGTCAATATGAAAACATCCACTGAAAACGCACATTGCTCCTAATTATTCCTGAAGTACTGTTACTGCCTTTTATCCTTATTCCTAAAACTTGATGAACTTGTTGACTGATATTTCTAATTATGAAGCGAGATATCACAAAAATACTTAAAAGGAGAAGCATAACAACACAATAGGATCTTGATTTTTTTCTTCCCCTTAGCCACGAATACAGAACTTGGAGCAACCAGTAGCGCATTAATTATCTTGTCTAATAAAATGCTTTCATTCACACAATCAAACAAGATGGAGTATCAAAAGCAGTTCAAGTAAACCACGCTTCCTGTAATCACCACTCCAAAACCCAAAAACTGGAAGGCAGCTTTGCTTTTTAGAGCTACGTTAGTTATTCAGGCTCTACGCTGCTCAACTGTTTCTCGAAACTGATGGACTTTGTGCCAAAAGCTAAAAGTGAGTGCAGGTGAACAGTCATGACTATGACACGCTGTCAAGATCAGTTTGTCCTACTCCTTCACCGCTTGGCAGTGAATGCCAAAACCTACCTGCAGTCTCAAAAAATACAGAAACTAATAGAAGTCAGTGTTCTGAAAGGCTATTTTCTGAATCAGAAAGCCTGGGCAAGGACCAGAAAGATAACGTTATGCTTGAATACTAAGAGTACTTACTGCATTTTCAGGATGGAAGATGTAAGATGCAGGAGAATTATCTACTATAATAACTTTACTCAGCTCACGTCCCAGTCGACTCAGATCCTTCACATAATTTCCACGGTGGAAAACACAGGATTCTCTAAAGAGCCTTGCCCTGAACACACCCCAGCGATCCAATAAGTCGGCTACTGGGTCCGCATACTTAAAAAAATAGAAGTTAGAAACATAAAGTTAGCAACGTGCAGATCAGGCTAATTCACAGAACTATACAAGGGAGAGACACAAAAGAATTTCAGACAAAACGCTCCCCTCTTGATTTTCTTCCCTGCTCCTTGTTAATTAACTTACACGCCTGCAAACCTGAAGCAATTAATAGAGAGATAATGCAAAAGCAGGACGGTTATCTTTCTGCGGAAGGCTAACTTGCCCTCTAATGTCTTCTGCAATTTATCTATTAGGTTTTATTCGTAGGGCCAACATGTAGTTACCCTAGGAGTTACCTAGAAGTTGATGCATCCACAGATCTCACGTAACTTTGCCATAAAACTGGCCAATGGTAACAGAAAATCTATACAGAGCCATTTCCACAAGCTGATTCATTTCCACATGCCTCTGAAGATTAACTGCAATGAACCCGTCTGAGCTTGAGGCAGCTTTTCCAAATGATGCCCTTGGAACGACTGGGTCAATAAGAATCTTAAGATTACCAAGTTGCATAATCAGGCCATAAAAGATCAGCCAAAGATGTTATTACGAAAAAAATCCCAGGTACAATACTCATTTTATATGAGATGATGCTTTAAGTGAGGTCCAACAACTGACATAAACTGTCCAAGGAGAATTATCCAAATATATCAAAATATGAAATATCCACGTTCTGGAAAATTGCATGTATAACTTATTTTTGCAGGATAGGAGTTACTATTTTCCTATATTTTAAACTGAGAAACAACATTAATGTTGAAATCGGCCATCTTTTGACTATGGAAATTGCTAGATATCTAACTGCAGTACGAAATTGTTCCCTTATATAGGATTTTCACTGAACAGAACATAGTAAGCAGAGCACAGGGAAGAATCCTCTGATAAGAAGGCACTAGAGCAGATCAAACAGGATCCTGTCCCCTTCCACCACCTCTACACTAGGTTGGAGTTAAAAGCTTACTATGCTAGAGTATTATTTAGAAATAAACCGTGTAATTTTACAAACAAGACACCACAAATACAATACACTGAAAGAAGTGAAGAATTTAAGATGTCTACTGCTGCAACATCTACCACAAGACTACCTACGAGGTACTACTGCTACTGGAGAGACCAGAGGGCACAAAATATTCCTGTTGGGATGTTTCAAGCTTTGCAAAGTGTCTAATTCTCCAACTCCAGATTGCAACTGCACCTGGAGAGACCAAAACTGCGTTCTCAATTTTCAGACGCGGTAAATTTCTGGATCGCTTGCCGATCACGGAAATGGCGTCGAACACAGCGTATTTTATTTCATGCCCAGCTTTAATACTGCTTTACTCGCACGCTATTTATTCTAATTTCTCACTATAACCATGGTAACTTGTAAGCCTTTCATATTGGCATTATGAGCAATGCATGGAGGCTACATTATGAGCCGAGCCCATATGTGATGGTGTTACCATGGAAACACTTACCCACACACTAGCAGACAAAGTACACACTGTCAGACAAAGAAGCAGAAAAGAAGGGGAAAAATTAAGATAGTACCAAACTCTGGAATTAATTATCCATAGCAAACCCAACCAAAAGTCCACTGACCAGCACCGTAAGGGCTAATGAGATGGGAAGAGGAACAAACCTTGGCTAGACTGGCTGTGAAGAGTACACATTCAAAGAGCTCTCCCATCCTCTGAAGAAACTCGTCCACATGTGGTCGCTTCAATACATAAACCTGGAATGAGAATGACTAATTAAGTCAAACAGTGTGTAAGGTAAAAGGAAAAAAAAGAGAAAATAAACCCCAACACAATCCCGAACTCCAAAACACTCTGGTAATCCTAACACCTGAGGAAACAAACGTTAACATGGAAGCGGTTCAAATGAAATGCTGAAAGCGGAAAAAAAAAGAAAGTATACAAGATAAAAGTAGGCATCCAATAATGAGAAATGTGAACACGCGGGCTGCCAAGATCCATGCTGATTATGCAATTGCAAATCCTGTGCATCATCTGGAGTGATGCCTCTTGAAAAATCTCATTAAAGGCAAAGGGAGACAGTCGGGCTTCTCAAGAATTCAGAATTCTCAACCGAAACGATTTTGGTGCTGGTGTCCTCAGCCCTGAAGAGCTTCACAGAAGGAAAAAATGTGATGAAAGCTCCATGCTGAGGGCAATTGCGCAACAGGGAGCTGTTTCCTTCCTGCGGCTAGTTCCTTCACTTTTCAGTTCCAGGTGACGGGTACTGTATCTCACCATGGACAGCTATCGGTCGTCCGGCTCTGCATAGAGCTTTCACCAAAAACCCTCTTAGCACCACGCAGAGTATCTGGCAAATGCTGCTTTCGAAATTCGCTGGCAAAGTCTATGAAGTTTTCTACTGTCACCTTGCCATAACAATGGCAAAATACTCAGGATCTCTCTCTTCCTGAGCAGCTCGGTTTCAGCAACACTATATATTGCTTTTTTTTGCACTGACAGCCACACCGGTGAGCCCGGCTGCCTACTGTCAACAACCTGATTAAAAGGCTTTAGAGCCTCCTTGTGTCTCTTTTCAGAGCAAGGAAGATGTTTTGCTTTCACAGAAAATACCAAGATAAGATGACTGCTGCGCAGAAAGCCTACAAGTAGTTCATGATCCACTGGGAAGCTGAAGAGGGGAGTCTGCTTGAAGATTTTTTTCCCCTATCTTGTTTGCACTTAGATTAGAAGTTTGAGAGAAAACACTGGCAGCATTTTATCTCTTTCGTTTGGCAAATAATCCCTAATGCTGGAAACTTCAAGTGGAGAAGTGTGGCACAGAACTGAAATCAGGAAGAATTGCAAGACTGATGCAATTTCAGGAATTTCTTTCTTTGATATGTAGAACTAGATTACTTGTATGTATTTTACTAGAATCGTAACAAGAAAGTGTTAAAAATCATGAGGAACTCAGAGAAAAAGCCTGAAGGAGAAAAATATGGAAATGCCAGCTTGAACCCAAGTGTAACAATTAAAGCCTTTGGCAGAAAAAAAAGAAAAAAAGTTGCGTAACAGGGACTTGAAATTGAAACCCTAAATCTGAAAGCAGAGCTTTATTAAAAGCACGTATGATGGAGCTGTACCTTAATGAGCAAAGCAGAAATGCTAATTACTTTTCCACTTTGCTTCAGCTCACTGCATAAAGACATGATCTGCCTTAAGTTCTGCCTACAAAGTTTACCCAAACTATTTCTGGCCCCTCAAATTCAAGCAACACGTTTAAACTTTGATACACATAACAATCTAAAACCAGATATATTATTTCCTTTTTAAAAAAAAAAAAAATCAAACCCACAACTACAGCAGCACTTAACCAATTAATTAAATGCGACATTTTCTAAATCAAAGCCAGCCAACCAGATGTATTTCCAGATAACTACAGCAAAGTTTCTTGTGTTTCACTGGGCTTAAACCAAGTAATTTCCTCCCCTGTAACAATGCAATTGATTTTTCACTTGAATCTTACTACGCAAAGTTGTTCTGTAGTATTTCCTTTCCAAATTACATCTTCAAATTTTTAAAGACACAGGTAGAAAGAGAGTTGCAGTCCCCAAGAAAGCAACTACCCAGCTTGCCAGTTATAAAAGAAAAGGTAGCGGGATCCACGCTGCTCCTTAACGTTGTGGTTCGTAAGAAGTTCTTAATTCTTTAGCCTTAAATTATCTCCCTACGCTTCTTTCTGAGGGCACAAAAGGGAGACTCCAAAGTCTTAAACATAGCATTAGCTTCCCTTTTAAAACCTAGTGTTTTAAGCCACAGCAAAACAAGGCTCTTCTTGGCTCTCCATCCTTATCTACGCCCGTGTCGGTGAAGTATTTCCACTTGGAATGTAATTACAAACTCCAAGCCAAGGATATGAACTTTGCCGCTTGCAACACAATCCACCTCCTCCATAAAGAGTGCAACCAGTAAATCAATCCAGCAGCTCCAGACTGAGAGCTCCACAACCACAGGCTTGAGGACAGGAGTGGGCTTACAAAAGCAAGTATTTGCAATATGCGCTCTTCTGCCAATTTGTAGGTCTCCTGACACCGCAACTGGTCAGTACGAGCTGTAAATACTCAGCATTTTAAGTTGTACTGTCTCCCTTCTGCACTTTAGATCTCCCAACCCATCACAGAGCACCCTCAACTGCTTCTACTTGAGCTCCTCTTGCTGTTTTGCCTTAAATCCTACCTCCTGGGCTCTGGCCAACAGATCCGCTTCTCAGATTAAATGCCTTATTATTAATAACTGTGATCTCTTAGGATGAGGTCTCACCATATTTTTCCTTTAATCTTCTCTTGCTGTCAGAAGTCTCAACTCCTTCACCCATTTTTGTTTGGTTTTTTTTTTTCCTGAGAACAATCTTAATAACTCTGGATGATTATCCTCCTAGAAGTTTTTTTTTCCCATACCCCCCGAGAAGTCCTACTTAGATCCTGGAAGCAACTGGTATCCTGGGCTACAAAATGCCTTTGGCTTACTTCACATAAAAAGCTTTCTTCAGCTGACACTGCAGCTCTTTTCTCCTCTTCCTCTTCATTTGGAATTTTTTCCCCCTTTACTTTGTTAGCGGCTGGACTTGAATCTCAATGCTGCATGGTTATTTGTGGCTTGGCTTTTTCCTCCGGTGCCTGGTGGCTTCAGTTTAAGTCGCTAGACTAGCTGGCTCCTGGCATTTTTCTGAGATTTACATACTGTCTTCAGGACATAAAAAAAAATAAAATAAAAAGCCCTCCAGTTTCTCTGTATTGTATGCTCACTAACTTCTTCCTTATCACAGTAAAAATGTAGAGGAATATTGTCTTTTTTTAATTATTATTTTAAATGAATGCTACTCTTAAAAATGTTAAGGCCCAAATCAGGCACTGGGCGTGTTTTCACAGGATTCTGTACTTACAGCTGCTAATGGAAGATCCCACGTAATTATCTTTAATTGTTTTCCAACGTTTGCTATTTCCACATATATTTTCTATACCTCAAAGCAGTCTTAAGCTAAAAAGACTCGGTGTGTTTAAACCAAAAGAGAAACCCAGCTTAATTTTAATCAATTAAAGAGGAAACAAAAAACTGCCTTTCCAAATCAGCTTTACAATAACAAAATCTGCAAGTAACGACAAAGAAATCTGCCCATGACAACTCAAGCTCCTGTAATCTGCTGGTCCGTGGGCTGGGTGCATCTTCTTTACAGCAAGGAGGAAATAACGCGCGTCCTTGAGCCACGTCTTGCTGGTCCACACAGTTGTGGCTGCCTCCCAGTGCAAGTAACCAAGAATAGGCCAGCTAGAACGGATACAGCCTATCCTGGATTACTTGAACCAGGCCACAGCCTTCCGTAAGAAAATCAAAGGATTTTGTCCTTTATAGAATGGGAGTTTATTATTCCAACAGCGTTTCCCCCCTAGTTTTGCCAACAAGAAACATTTTGTACATTACATTCAATGTGTACTTGCCAAATGCTTCTTTTTTTAGCTTTCGACAACTGAAGATAAGCAATTGGTAATTGAATTACAAAAAAATACATGCTTAAAACCTAGTTTTACTCATTTAATAAATTACATTCAAGAATGAGGTTCCAAGTAACACCAAACCAAACCCTTCCGGGCAGACCTCTTCACTTTCTGACACCATCAGCGAGGCCCAAAGGCGCTGCAAATACATTTGGATAAAAGCGAAAGGACCACCATACCCTGAACAACTTCACCGATTTGGGACTGAAGTTACATTTAACGCACAGTTTCTAATCTGGGGGTTGTGACTGCTCCGCACTCGTTAAACGGGAAGCACCCTCCGAAAGAGAGGACGTGTTCTTGCAGAAGTTACGCCAAGGGGACCAAGCAGGTTGAACATCTTTTCTCCAGCCGCTACTTTCATCCTCAATAAACTTCCTCTAAAAAGCGCTCTCGGTTGCAACACATTTCACTGGACTTCTCCCAGTTTCTCACTTGCTAATTTGGTAGAGCAGGAGGAGACAAGCTCTGATTTCCTTTTATTTCAGAGAACAGAGAGAAATGAGAGAAGTGGCCAGAAGA